GTGTGAAATATGATAATTTTTGGTCAACATCTTAGGCTCGCCCAAGTCCATCAAAGTTCAATATGCTCAAAAAATAAAAATTAATAAACAAATTAAGTAATACATTGTTTTACTAAAATTGCAATAATCTTCTAACGTATTAGTCCTACATATTTTAGTATATGGACCTTTTTTGTAGAGAATCGAAGTTAGCTAAGAAAAAAATTTTTTTAGTACGTGAACTTTGATGGACTTGGGCGAACCTAGGATATTGACCAAAAATTTCCACATTCCAGACACACAGTTTTTAGAGCATAATTACCAATCAAAATTCTAAAAAAGCGGCCGAAGCCCACGCTAGTATACGTACATATATAAATATGCATGTTATGTATGTACATATTTATGTATACAACTTTAAAAAATATTGTACTAAATAATCTATGCTTATGTTGATAAATAAATTTAATTTTTTTGCGTTCTCTGGTTGCACCGCGCGCGGCATGAAGGCAAAAGCACCCGTGGCAGGAGCGACAAAAATTAATAACTACCCTGACGGAAACAAGTGATTTTTTTAAATCAACTAATTGAAAGACTACTTTAAAACAAATGCAATGAGTAAATGTTTCGAATTTTTATACTCTTTGCTCAAAAAACAATTTGTGTCTTGGAAGTATGAAAAAGCATCTGTGAAGTCCAGAACGCAAGCGTATTCAAAGAAACATACTGACTTTGATGTTGTGTAAACCAAATTCATTTTAAAGTAGTTGAAATTAAATGCAGAGTCGGACAGTCGACCTGCTGCTTGCACACAATTCAAGCAGAACATTTGAAAGCGCATTTACATGTCTGGCTGTAGATGAGCTTGCAAAGATGTTTGCTACAATTGGTCGCAGCCAAGAATGGCCATGTTCAAATCTCATCAAAAATCATCTGTGAAGTGCAGAACGAAAGCGCATTCAAACGAAACATACTGACTTTGAAGTGGTTTAAGCCAAATTCGTTTTAAAGTAATTGAAAATACATGCAGAAAAAGGCAATTGACTGCTTCCTAGGACATCACCATGTTAAATAAATGAGTTCGTTGCAGGTAAAATAGTGAGAATTTCAATTAGTTATCATTGAAAATAAAGTAGTTTATAAATTACTTTCAAACTAATTCAATTTCCTGCAGGGTAGCGACTCCGTGCAAGTTTCCGTGTTTTTTTTTTTCTTTTAAATAATGTATTATAGAATAAGGATTGATATTCAATGTAAGCGATTAAAAACTCTGATCGAGAAGTAAAAATACTTCCATTTGTTTATAATTTTTTTTTTTTAATAAAAAATGTTATACAAACTAATGATTGGTTGAAAAATTGAAACAATCAGGTTAAAGCATGTCTAATTAACTATAATCGTGGAAAAAATTAGCAAGATAAATGTTATGAATCAGTGGATAATAAATAATTACTGAATTCATCAAAAAAAAGTTAATAACAATAACTTTTGTAAAAATTCGAATTTTGCAAAATTGTTCAAATTATATTTTTTTTATGTTTGTAAACCGAATAAAGTGATTTGTTCGAAAAAATCTTGATATTCCGACGAATTTATAGCCTTGAAGTCGGTTAAAATGTTTGAGTTCTTTGTTAATTTTATGTAAATAAAGTGCAATTTATGAAACTTTAAAAAGTGTATTTATTTATTACATACTGTACATAAAACTTGCATAAATGTTAAAATATTATCTGAAGCGAATTTTCAGTATTTTCTGGTGATATATCTCTAGAAGTAGGTAGGGATGGAAGTCTGGTAGGGATGAAACGATAAGAGTAAATACAAGTACATACTCGATATTTTTCCTTCGATACCAAGTAATTTTGATATCGATACTTTTGAACCAAGTACTGAGTAGGTATCGAAAAAATACTCGTATCGTAACCCGATACCAAGAGGAATTTTCTTTTGGAATTTTTTCCCGCACTAATATAAAGTAGCCAGTGCTTATGGCTGCTTAAACGCCAGCGACCTTCAAATATTAAAGATGTTTTTTTTTTTTCTGAAACCTGTACGCACTGAACTCTTTTAACAGATATTTATCCTGTTTTTGCATCAGGGAATCCATTTCCACGGTAGCAAAAACCAAAAAATCTATTTAAAATATTTTTTTAACTTCATTGAAGGCTGTTCTTAAGCCAAAAGGATAAAAATCCAAAGATTTTTTTTTTTGTCTTAAGGTCAAGGTAATTTTTCATTTAATCAGACCTTTAAAATTAATTTCAAAAGTAAAATTTTTGATTTTTTTCTTTTTTTACCTAAAAACAACATTTAATATATTTTTTAAAAACAATTTCGATTTTTGCGATAAAGGAAATGGATTCCTTCATGTACGAACAGCAAAAATATGGGTTTAAAACTTTTTTATAAATATCATTGCATACCGGTTTCAGGCCAAAAACAGGAAACAAATTTAAACCATCTTTTTTTGAAAGTCATTTTAAAGGTCATGGTAATTATTCAAACAAACGAGGCTATTTTTTCCTGAATTCCCCATCTCAAAAGCTTTAAAACACCGTTACATTTATTTCCCTATCTCTTCTCGTTTGATTTTGTCCCTTTTTTCAAAAATAGAGCACTGTGCGCCATATACACGGCCCAACGTACAGAGTAACTCTATTATTCCTCGCGCTAAAAACATTATCGGACAATATTAAAGGTGGTGGAGACAAGCTCTGTTACAGAAAAAATAAGCAAAGGAGAAAAGAGTAGGGTGCAAAGCATGGATGAAAAAAACCTTATCTTATCTTAGAAAAAACTAAAATGTTTAACGTAGCCCAGCCCAGAAATTTCGTGTGGAAATTTAGCTTTATAAGAACTCACCATATAAAATCCGTTACTTTTTTACTATAAGAGATATACACCTGGAATTTTGTCAACTTATAAACGAAGGTACAGTATATCTGCCTACGATAAAAAATCAAATTGGACTTCCCAAACCCCCGAAATTCAGCATCCAAAATGAATATTGGCACTGAGTGCCCAACTCACGGTTGTAAGGTTAAACGAAATTAACTCCTTTGCGTAAATGATTAAATTTAATCCAGTTCATACCGAATAATTTAATAGCCAGAAGTACCGGTACGAGTAGGTATCGATACTTTAGATCCGATATTTTTCGATATTGGTCATACATGTGTACTCCTGTACATATGCATATATTCCATTAGTTGGCTTCGGAGAAAAGATATTAAAATCCAAGGTATTAATTGTAATTACAAATGCAAAAAACATGCAACAGAAATCTTTGTTGCTCCCAGCTGCGAGGTGGAAATACCTTTTTGTACACAAAAAAAATAAAAAAATTAAATAAAGAGAAAGAAGAAATTGCATGTCCATAAAGCTTTGAAGTACACAGCTTTAGAGAAAGGAAAAAATTAGTGCAGTTTAAGTAAAAAGGGCAACACAAAACTAAGCACTCCATGGCACCTCTACGTCTGCAATAAGCCATTTTCCCTCCAGTTGATTTTAATTTTTGTAACGACAAGCGTTAGCGCATTGTTATTATTATTATTACTTTTTTGTTAACAAAACGCAACCCCATTATTTTTATCAGTTGCCTTTTCGTGTTGGCATTGTCTGCGCATTTTAATGTTTTAAAGGAATCCTCTTATCTCTCAACTCCATTCTGTGCCAAAACGGAAAGTTTTAAAATATTGAAAAAGTTTTAGCTGTATTTATGCATGTTAAATTTTCTCTGCAAAACTCAAATACATTCACATATCACTAATTCCCTGCAGTAAAATTTAGAGATAGTCTGAAAAAGCGCTAGTTCCGAACTACACATTTGAGAACTATCTCTGAACTAGTGCAAAACGGATGCAGAACGGGACAGTTGAAACTTGCGGTGTAAATATGTAAATGCTCACTACTCGTACAATACGAAAGTAGCTCAGCGAGAAGACATCCGACTCAAGCATCTTAGGTCGCGAGTTCAAATCGCGGTGGAGGCAGTTGTGAGTTTCCGAATTAAATGAATTTAAACTGTTTCGTGCAGCTTACAAATAATTTTAATTTTTTTTTAATAAAATATGTAATAGAAAAGAAAAAAACGAAAAAGGTATCCAAAAATGGAATCTTAAAAACGGTTTCTTATAAAAAAAACTGTCCAAACCGGAACCGGTTAAAAACTAGTTGCAAAGTAATGCACTGGGAGACAATTGCCACCGCCAATGACATCGCCGTGTAAAACTGGACAGTTGAAAGCATTGCTTGGGTATTGAGCTAGAACTAGTACTGTCGGCAAAAGGTCTAGTTCTACGCTACCTCTGAACTAGTCAGATTTTCTGCAGGGTTAGAGTGGAAAGTTGCTAAGTCAATTTCTACAAATTTTGCAGGGAAGGAAAAAATTCGTATAACCATTTTCTTCAAGTATCTTGCAAAACTTTGAACACAACATTTTGCTTGCTTAAAGCAAAGCAAAACTACATACGAGTCAACAGGATTTGATGTTAATTAAAAGATTTTCTATTACTTTGGCCCTGTCGAATTTCCTGTGCCTCTTTTGGGTTTAGCAAATGTGGCTTTCATTGAATATAAACGGAAAGAAATAAAAAGTAATTACCTCAATCCTTTTGGAAACGATCCTTTTTTAATTTATCTTTCCTCCTATATCATGGTTTTTGCAAAAAGTTTAACCTAGCACTTTTTTCAATCTATGCGAGCGATATGTTTTTCGCCGATATTTTGTTTCTTTTAGAAAGGCAATACCCGTATTCGTAGATGTATTTATTATACATGCTATTTGAATCCTTAAAGTATTTTTTTCATATTTCATTACATTGTTTCCCCCTAATATTCTATACCATTAATTTATTTAAAATCTGTAATTATTAGATATGCATTGATTGCATAAATAACTTAAGTTATTTTTTAGTTTATATTGTTTGGAAAGACACCATTAGTAGCTATGAATACATGTATGAATGTTTAACATAAACTAAAGTTGTTTATTCTATCTTCACTTCTTTTGTCTTTTACAGAATGTGTTTTGTGCCGACTTAGCCATAAGCATACCTAATAATCAAGGACAGGACAATGTTTTTTATCGCATCGACTACAGTCCGCCATATGGTGATCCAGCGCCAAACACCACAATACAGTCGCGCGAGATAGGCGAGGAGATACAGTTTTCCCATGCCCTTCCCGGTACCAAGTACAATTTTTGGTTGTACTACACGAATTACACTCACCCTGATGTACTGTCGTGGACAGTGACAATTACCACAGGTAAGTAAATAATGACAATAATCTCGATAGCTTTACTTACAGCTTCGCCAAACCGAGATATTTTGCATTAGTTAAATTTTGAAGCAGTCAAATAGTTCTGTTCTTTTTTTATTAAAAAAAAAAAACCGGTTTTAACTCAAGTAGAGTAATAACACTGTAGGGATGCTAAAATATCACAAACAGCGCTCAACTTAATTTTGGCTCGTTGATTACGGATATGTATACCATTTTTCTAGATCGGGATGGGAATGAAAAAAAATCAAACTTTTATAGGAAAAAATTAAAAAATAACAGATATTTTATGATTTTCTTAATTGTAATAAAGCTTATTTAAAAAAACAACTCCAACGAAAAAGATCATTGGATAAATAAAGTTTTGAATAGTAAAACAAATATGCGCAATGATTTCATACAAAAAAATTATTGGGTGTTTTCATTTCACAAATGGCTATTTTATTTAGCCCTCGATTTTCTTCGGTGATAGCCTGATTTTTTGTAACAGAACAGGCTTTAATGAAACTTAAAAATTTGAATTTTTTTCATTCACAATGCAGATCCGTAATCTACGACCCAAAATTAAGTTTACGTGTCTCGTGTCTTGTGATATTTCAACAAGTAATTTTTAGCAAAAAAAAAAAACCGACTTAAAAAAAATATATATATATCTATATATTTCATGATCCAATGATCGGATCTAAACCAAATTAGTATGGGACCACCTCTGAGACACTACCTTTCCGTTGCAAAAATTATTGAAATCGGTTGATGTGGTGCAAAGTTATGCGGTAACATACATAAAAACAAAAAAAAAAATATTCCAACGAACTTATAACCTCCTCCTTTTTTGGAAGTCGGTTAAAAATTGAGATTTTCCTTAACGAATCACTTTGTTGGGTAATAACCAGTGTTGCCAGAACTTTTTGGGCCGACCGGCTAGATTGGCAAAAAAAAGCGGCTAAAAACGGCTAAAATGTTTTAGTGAAATTTCACATAGACTCTGGCAAAAAACGGCTAAAATGTTTTAGTGAAAATCCACATGCTTTATTTAAATAAATCGCAAGAAACGAAAGACTAGTTAACACCATTAATTTATATCGAGTGTATATTCCTCATCATCAAATGAATCACTATTGTATATATCACCTGAATTCATTAATTTTAAGAGATCGTCATCTACAGTAAAATTATGGCAGCATTTTTCTTCACGTTTTAAACCGTATCTTATATATAAAATAGCGTTTAACGTTTTAACGCACATTGGATTTCTTTGCTTAGTTTTTATTATATTCATTGAACTAAATATTCGCTCTACTTCTGCATTACTTATAGGGAAAACAAGAAAACTAGGTTGCAAAGGTCAGCAAAAGGGTTTTCTCCTAGGGCATTTCGAAATTGATAAACTTCGGCCCAAAATTTTACAGTTGAGTCTAAATTACTCCAGGTATGTAACGTTAACCGATGCCATTGCATCTCTATGGATGTTTTTTTGTCGGCATTATATTTGTGTTTTTGTTGCTGTAGTTGAACAAATACTTTTGGTTTAATTACTCTTAATGCATTTCCAACCGAAAAAAGTCATTTTTTTTAGTTTGGCAATATTTGTAGGGAGGCGTTGGCGTATTTGCTTTATTAAAGTGATAATAAAATAGCGACCATTTTCTCGAATTATTTTCTCGGCTTCGTGGTCAAAAGCGTTTGTGCTTACTTTTGTTTTTAAATACTCTTCAAAACTGTGATAAAACTGAGGAAATGGAGCAAGGTATGGTTCCAACGGGGAGCATATAGGATCAAATGTGTCCGCGCTAATAACCACTAGGCAGCATAGATGCGAAAGTAAAACATTGAGTTCATTAAAAATCTTCATTGGGTCTGCATTATTGCTTTCGAAAAACTTGTTTACATTTTGCACCTGAAAATTAGGCAAATAGTAAAATCGGCTAAAAACGGCTAACTTTTTTTTACAAACCGGCTAACAAATCGGCTGCCGGCTAGATCAAATTTTCTCCGGCTAGTTGCTATCAAAACCGGCTAAATCTAGCCGGAAAACGGCTAAAATGGCAACGCTGGTAAAAACATTGATGCTTTTGGTTTAGCTGAGGGAGAGACAGAGACCAGGATAGAGATAGGGGAAGTTGGAATTACCTTTTGTCAAGAGCAGTGTTGCCAAGTTTTGAATTTGAAAAAGTACTAAAACCCAAGAAAAGTCGCGTTTTTTCTTGAAAAAAGCACCAAATTTTTATTGGAGTATTTAAATGTTAAAATTTTCTCCGTTTTGCTAAATTTTTTCTACAATTCCTAGGAAACGAAAGCAAAAACCAAAAACGAAGTTTCATGAAGGTTGTGGTAGTTTAAATCTACACTGCAGTCTCTTATGATCTTGTGAACTAAAAGAACATAAAGAACTTTTCTTTCGACCGCTTAGCACATGAAACGTAATGAAATTTGATTTTCCTTTTCAATGTGTCTTATAGCGTTTTCTTTTCTCGAAATAATGTTGCCTTTATTCTGCCCTGCGCAAAGGCTGTCAAGCTTTCGGGTTCCTTTCTCAGTATCTTCACATGCATACTGCGTTCTCTTTCTTTAAAATGTTGCACCCTGATAATGTTGCCATATAAAAAGGTGGCATTTTTTTCGAGAAAAGAAAACGCCATTATTTGAGCGTATTCACTGGCGCATAGTGGGAAAAATATTTTTGTGTCAAAAAAGCTATCTACTCTTCAAATCCCACTCGATTTTGATTATTCTCTTTTTTCAAAAGGTTCGTTAGATATTAATTTTACTGTTACTGCTGCTTTTTTGAATAGTCGTAAAAAAATATAACAAATTCAGCCCAAACTAAAGGTCTAAAAGGCGATTCCTGATCCCAGAAATGGCAAATTACCGAATCTAAGTTTGACATGATTGAAATTGCTGCTACATATTTTGTTGGTAAACATATGCTCTCCGCATATGATTGTCATTGTGACATGATTTTGTTTAGAATTTTGTAAACTGGCTTAAAAAACTTACGGTTGCTATAAATTTTGCCCCCCTTTTTGTTAAGATTTACAGATTTGGTGTTTTCAAACTAAAAACAAAAGCACCAAAAAACGCACTAAGAACTAAATTCTAAAATTTTCGCGCTAAATTTAGTGCGAAAAGCACCAAGTTGGCGACAGTGGTCAAGAGGTATTCAAATCAAGTACTCACTTTACAAGCATGATGTGAGAGAGAGAGAAAAGGCAGATGAAGCGTTGGCGCAGCACGCACATTGTTTCGACTTTATGGAGGCAGGTGGAAATGGCATGATGACAGCTGATTAAAAATTCGGTTGAGCTTAGAGAGGTAAAAGTGAAAGTCGTAAATACACTGAGAGAAAAATCAACCAAAAATTTGTTAATATTACCAAATTCAAACTTGAAAAGGAATAATTGTGATTTTTGGTTAATATTAACAATGCCTTGGTTGATACTTTCGACCATGATTTGGTAATATTAACCACAATTTTTTTTACATTAACCAAACTTTTGGTTGGTGATTATTTCGTTTCAATACGCTTATGTTCTGCACTTCACAGATGCTTTTCCATAATTCGGAGACACAAAACAAAAATATTTATTATCATTTTAACATGTTGCCTCTTGCGGAATTTGCAAATAACAGCAAGCATCTCTACAAACTCAGCTACAGCCGCTTTATAAATGTGTCTTCAAATGTTCAACTTGAAACAATTTTCTCGTCGTTTGATTTGGTTCTGCACTTCACAGAGGCTTTTTTGTAATTAAGAAAAACCAAAAACAGAAAAAAAATAAAAATTATGTATCGCGCTGATGGCATTCGTACTGCTGGAAGCCAACAAATAACAGAAAGCACCTCTGCTCGTTCAACTACTGCCATACATACGAATTTGTTCTCAAATGTTCAACTTGAATCATATTTCTTACAATCGGCTTATTGACCATGAAAAAATCAAACCATAACTTGGTTGAAAAAACCGTTGTGCTTTTGGCTCAGTGTACAAAATTTCATATCATTTACTAACGCCCCCTCTCTACGAATGGTAAATTTCCAAATAAAAATATTAGAATCGGCGCGATACGGACTAATCTGTCTGAATCTATTAAAGCAAGCAGGACCGTAGAGGGGAAATCCGTGCCCGAGGGATCTTGAATGGGGGCCTCTGGTGTAAAACTTAGATGAGAAAATTAATAAGAATATCGTAGTATACT